GATATAAGATATTATCTTCTTTCTGCTACCTTTCATTTAATTTGATTTGTACTGTATTTCTTTTTTTGTTGTTGTTGTATGTGAATTTGTTTTCTTTTTTAAATTAAATGCATAAACTAATTAAAAAATATCTGTGTTCTCAGTGGGATTAGCTGAGTTAAAGAAACTAAAAAATAWAATATCCCTTGCAGCCATATTTGGAAATTTGCATGACAATAAATAAATAAACTCATTCTCCAAAGAAAAATGAAGGATAATCTCTTTGCATTAACACYGCCATCTCAGGGTTATCTGAGCCAAGCTTGGTGTAAAACGTCTCATATCAGATTAAATCCCTGCTCTTGTGTTTTAATGAGATTTACTCAGATATTCATCTTCAAAGACTCCCAGTTGGCCTTTTTTTTWAAAGTATGCTTGATTTGTGCTTAGTCAATTTTTAACATTTCACTTTGTCCCTCAATCTTTTGGAGCTGCTGTACCGTATCCTTTAGGTTATTCATATTTGACTGCTTCCACTCTGTCTCATGCCCCTCTCTCTCTCTCTCTCTCTCTCGTTTGAAGCAGAAATGGCGGTGGTCGAAGTGGTACGTTCTGTGCATGCACCATGATACTGGAGATGATTCGTCACCACAGCGTGGTGGACGTGTTCTTCGCTGCCAAAACGCTGCGCAACTCTAAACCAAACATGGTGGAGACAATGGTGAGCAGAAAAACCTGGTTTGTTGTCAATAAGAAATGAGAAGTTACTCAAAAAATTGTGTATTTTTCTTTCCCCCCCCCCTACTGAGACCCTGTCCTGTGCATTATCCGCAGTCAGAACTAGTTTTTCACAGATTATTCACCAAGCAGTCTGTGATTGGTCTGAACTTTAAAACCAAAACTTCTCCCCTGCAGTGTCTCATGGAGTGGAAGACTATGTATTTTTTTGCACCTACAGTATGTGACCCATTTCGGACTTTTTAATGACAGTTTGAACATGGCAGGTCATACATTTTGCGCATGTGGGTCAGGACCATGGAGAGYTCACACTGGAATCTGATGGAGGTCTCATTTAAAATATAATGTGAACATCCACACACACAAAAAGTTGTGTTTTTGAAAGAATAAATTAACTGAGCATTAAGACCTGCAGTGTGAACATAGCCTGTTGTCCGTTTGAAAAAGACCGTCTCACAAAGTACATCAACGGAGACCTGATGTCTTACATCTAAAGACTAACCAGACCTTAAGGAGGTTTAATCTGTCTTTACTGCAACATTTTATGTCAAATATGCAAATACCTCAAATACTGTACGTAGGTTCAAAAGAGCAGAAACCCTGAAAAAAAATGCATCTGTTTTCTAGAAATACAAAATAAATGCAATGAATTACATATGTTATAAATATGTTCTGAGATTAGAAATGGTTCCTTTATGTTATAATGTGCTAACTTTTCTATGAAAACCTGTAAGACCAACCTGTTGTTTAAACCAGTTATCCATGACCTTCTTCACACAAAATGAGTTTGACTAAAAAAAATATACCAGCTTTACAAAACTGTCTGCATTAGTAATGAATTATTGAAAAATAAACTTCAGAATCTTTACAAAGCTCAAAYGTCCATGAGACATGAAAAAATATGAATATTAAGAGAACTGAACAACCTGAGCTTTTATATGAGCATCATAAAGRGCTATTTCCCAGTTTTATGAACCGGGAGATATCAATATGCAATATGAATCAAAGATTTTTCTTTGTTTTGTCTGATTCATAGTCAGAAATAGATGCAGTATAATTAAAAAATAGCACATTTCCACAGCTGAACACTATTTGAATAATAAGTGTGTAACTGATTTGGACTGAGCAACTCAAAGCTGTAGGAAAAGATCGCAGAATGTAGCAATTATTTTTATTATACTGATTTTAGTTTGTATGTAATTCATTATTTAATTCACACTGGGCTATAATTGTATTTTTAAAAGACTACAAAGCATTCAGTCTTTAGCCAAACAACATGCTGTATGCACTCAGTACTCTTCACTTGATGATGATGATGATGGTGTTTGGATAAACTCTGCAATATTTTAAAACCCTTTTAAAAACTGTCATAATCCAGATATTATAGAATAATTATTTTTTAAATAAAAGGTGAGAGTTTTGGTGAGAATATTATGGAGCCCACAAGAAGACATGGGGGAATTTTTTTTCTTTTGCGTTCCCACGCAAAAGTTTGATTTGTATATGAACTGAATTAAATCAGACTTTTATTTTGAAATATCYRGTTACCAAAACAGGATGTGTCGCCACAAGTTCTTGAAATTGACATTGATGTTGCGTGGCTGCACTGTTTAAATATYAACATCTGACACACTTCCATGCGTRKYTGTGTGATATATTCACTCTGAAGCTGAATTAAAGCAGKRGGCTAACTCACTAATGGTGAACATGTGAGTTTGTTGATAAACCGGCAGGCACAACAGTGATAAACTACTTTTGCGAGGGAACGCAAAAGGTATTGCGAGGCAACAAAAAAGAAAAAAAGTCTCCCATGTCCCCTCACGGGCTCCGTAGAAAATGACCAACTTCATGTTTTTAGCAGTTTTCTTGACATCACGTTTTGTTAGGCCTTTAAAAAGACCAATGCAGATGTTCAGCTTTAATTTTACATGACTAGAAAACTTATAGCTTTTTTCTCCCAAAAGCAACTGGAAAATATTTTTAAAAACTTTGTCTACAAACTGAGATTGCTTAATGAGTGATCTACAAGAGATACAATCTCAACTGTTCACAGAACTCCTCTGTATAAGATCTGAACTGTAGGAACAAATGCTTCACCAACTCTGAATAATACACAGCTCCTCAGTGTTAAACTGTGATAGCATCAACACTGTTTTATGAGAGCAGTTTTAAAATCAAATTTGAGACCCAGCCTGGACACCAAATAACTGAGGAATTCTGCTTTTTCACTGAAATCTGTTGTAGCAAACAGCCTCTGCTGTCAGGGGTAACGAATAGTTTAAGTGGAAAACTAAARCCTGCCTTTTTTGTGTTTGTAAACAAGGAAGTGTTTCCAGTTCCCTTCACGTTTGATGATAACTCTTATCTGACCTGATTATAAATGTTTGCGCAGACACAGATGGGTTATTATGGTTTCAGATGAAGACCAGCTCAGGCCAGCAGCTTCATGTTAGGAAACTGGAATCAGGTAAAAGTGAACCAGTCATCCTGAGCTTTCCTGCTGTACAGGAAATGAATTCACGAATAAACAACTTGTTGCCTATTTTTTCCAACGACCAGAAATCCAACTTTTGACAATAAATCAAATATTTGTGTTTTACAGGATGTTAAACTACACTGAAAAAATAACTCGTAAGATGTACTTGAAAAAACTCCTCTAACAAATTTTCACTAACGTTTTTTAAGTAAATTTAAATGTTCATGTAATATTTACTCATCATTATCTAGTAAAAGTTATTAAGAATGTAGTTAAAGATTTGTGAATAAATCAGGTAAATTTTACTTAATTTGCTCAATTAAATCTTGTAACATATACTTGATCAGATTAAGTAAAATTTACGTGATTTATTCACAGTCTGTTCCCTGTTCAACACTTCTCCACCAGGTGGCAGTTTTGAAGAACCTTTATTGGATTCTTCTTCATGAACAACACAGACAAAGTGAAACTCACAGGTCTTATTAATGACTAGGCCTACCACTCTCACTTATGGTTACTTCTGCTGAACGCTTTAACACAAGTTAACAAATAATGAACACACAAATTACAGTAACACAACAGACTAATTGTTAAACAATTCCCTAAAATGATTTAACAACAACAAACATGAATCCTACCCACAATCCTCCACTGCAGTCACATGACAAACAGCCAAACACAGCAGAATGCTACAATATGCATTCCCTGTTCCCTGACAACTAAATATCACCTACATTATGTCATCAAACTGTTGCACACCAACAAATGTGTTCAAGCAAAAGAAAGCAGACAACTTATGTTTTATTTCCACCATGTCTTGTCCTCTCCTTGAAAAGTGAAGCAAGGGAATGAGGAGCAGCAGCCTTTGTGTGTGCATGCAGCCTCAGTTTTAGTCCAGAAGAGTAGAAGTTACTTCATATATTCATGTTTATGTGCTGTCCAGAAAAAACACTTCAATATTACTGGTAAAATTATATTAGCATTTACTTTTTTTCTACAGTAATATTGATATATAATATAATGTGTATTGTTTATGTAGTAAATTCTAGTAGTTTAGAAATTTTGATATTTTTGTAAAATTTAAAAGAATAATTAAACAAATGTTACTACACCCAAGTTTTAGTTTTAGTTTTAGTGATATCCTGAGGTAGAACTAACCTGCTCTTTGTTCTGTTCCCAGGAACAGTACCGGTTCTGCTACGAGCTGGCCCAGGAGTACCTGGATTGTTTGGAAGTCAGATAGCGCCAATYCCTTTTATTGTGTTCTCTGTCAGTGGACCGATCCTGGTCCTGAATCCTGCATCTTTGCTCCTGCCTCCTTAGCCTTCATGTACAGCTCTGGTTGTAAACTTTGCCATGCCTGGATGAAACGTTCCACATCCCAAACTCTGACTGGAAAACAAACTCTTTGGACTGTAACACACAAGTGACAACCCTCTCCTCGACTCTCTGGTCCAAGCCATATTCCTCTGTGCCACTTTTCATCTGCCGAACCCAAGGACATCAACAGGAGTGGAGTTGATTTTACAAACTGTCCAGGTGGTCTGACTGCAGATTGTACAACTGGCCAACAGGATCTGAAGAGCTCCACTGTATCTTGCCTTACTATAAACCAACGCTGAAAGGAAACTACAGTTGATGACGTTCACTGGATGATTTTGTGTTTGTAACACTGTAAAATGTGCAATCTGCTGTTGGTGAACATCCATTGTTGTACTGTACTGTATTAGAACTTTTTTGTGGATGCTGCTGACAACTGGAGATTAATTAATTGMGAAAAGAAGGGTCGATCTTACATTGGATGGACTTTTCTGTACAGTAGGCTGGTCTCTGACCTRATTTCTCTTCGTTTAATTATATCGGTAGATGTTTTTCCCTTTTTCTTGGGTGTTTCTAGATGATCCCAATGTCTCTATCAATGTGTCATACACTCTCTGTGTGTCTGTAAGGGTAAGAGTTCAGCATCTGCATGCCCAGTCTTTCATTCAGTGTTTCATTGCATTGTGTGACCTTAGTCTGCTTTTGGGTGGATTCTGCACTGTGAATCCTTTCGTTGCTCCTGAGAAAACTCCATGGAATACCCACACGGTGCTGTGAAAACAGCAAAAAAAAAAAAAGGGACATTTAAAAATTATTGCTTTCTAAATTTGTATTTATTCAGTGTGTGGTATTTTATAGTGTACAAAATAAAATAAAATAAAATAAAATGTGCTCTTACTTAACAGCCATACTTATTGAGACCTTTCCTTCTTGCAAGTGGAGGTCAAGATTTGCAGAATTTAACAATGCTTTTTGGTAATTGATTTATTTATTTCACTATGTGAACCACAGTACAATCCTCTTAGAGGAGTTTTTTGTTGTGAAATAATGTGATTTGTTTTAAATTGCTCMCTTTTTTGGTGAAGTCACAATTATACTATTTAGGTCATTAATTTTACATTAGACCCCTTCTATATTAGATAATGATGCCCCACTATGTTCTCCATGATCTGTATGTTTCATTAAAATATGACCAGATCAAGTGTGACAAAAGAAGAGATAGATCAAGTTGTTAGTCTCTAATTTTGTTGAAGGTAGGTAGAACTGGGTCTTTCACAGCCTCTCCAAGTTATCTAGGCTCAGMCCAACCTTAACCCAATCATTTCTACTGTTTTACAGATGGATCCCTTCTGAAGGGGTCAGTAGGTGCAGTGGTGCTGATTTTGCACAACCACAGACAGAGTACAAATACCCAGTAGGTGGTTTTRCAACTGTATCTCAAGAGATACAATCCACCAGTGTGTGGCATCTCTCAAAGACCTTCAGTGTACACAGAAGGAAATWATRRATAATAACAGATAGCCAAGCTGCTATTAAAGCTCTACAAGGGCCACACTGTACATCATTACTGGTTGAGAGTGTACCAAAGCAGTCAACCAACTGGGGAGAGATAACAGTGTTACTGTTAAATGGGTACCAGGACATACTGACATTAATGGTAACAAGAGATCTGACTACCTTACAAAAGCTGGCAGTCAGGCTCACTTCAAAGGACCAGAGCCTGTTGTAGGTACCTCAACAACAGTCTGTAGGACTGTCYTACAAGCCTGGATTAGATGTCAACTCTCAGTCCTCTGGAGGGAGCTGATGGACTGTAGACAGGCACAGGAACTGATAAATGGCCCAAATCTTGGGTTTGGGAAAGCTCTCATTGCCCTGACAAGGAAAACTTTAAAGAGGACCTATTATGAGGGTTCTAGAACAAGGTAGCACAGATTGACAGGACACCAGATAGCCCCCCACGCTGTGTGGCCACCCCAGGGGAAAGTGACTGACTGGTGCCCGGAGAGGCAAACTTGATTCCCCAGGCCAATGTTCTGTCGATCTGTGCTACTACGCTACGGTAGCAAGATCTGATGAGGTAGCACAAATCATCAGAACACTGGCAGCRTGGTCAACATTAGTTTGTGCCAAATGACAAATCATGTTYATACCAAAGCAACAGCAACACCAAACTCATAACACATCGCTTACCGCCATCAAAAATCTGCAGATTTGTGAGGAACAAMAGGGACAGAAGTTTCCTTTCAGCTGAAAGTCTTTGGGTAAATCCTGCTGGCAGTAGTTTCCAATGTAGTCCATCGTGAAATTATTTTCACAAACTACAACTTTCTTTGGCAATACTGCCCGAACATTGCCATCAAAAATAAAATTAATCCAGGCATCTCTGTTCTCCATRGCTGTAGTAAAAACAATAGAAGAAACTTGCGTCCTGTGAAGAAGTGAGTGGAGCTCCACCTTGGGTTGCCAGGTGAGGGGCTGGGCTCCGGTTGCAGAGTTCAGTTTTTGACGGTGTTTGAAAAAAGTTAATTTCAAGACACAAAAAAATACATTTACGTATAGTAAAAATACCTCTGGGTACAATGTTTGGTACTTGGACTGTTTTTTAGAAGCAGTACAGACCCAAATGTAAGTAAAAAAAAAAACTGAAAAAATGTGAAATTTGTTTATTAGGTGGACAAGGAAACTCCTGCCTGTTAAATATGATGTGATCCACTGTAAAACAATACTTATAAAGCCTGCACATTGCTCAAGTCAATATAAAAAGATAGTGTGATGTACACCTAYGTAATATCTACATCAACACTCCTCCAACTCTACTGTTTTAAAAAAGTTTTGTGTGGAGCACAGAGGTGAGATCCGGACAAATGTATGAAGAGAATGCTATGGAAGACCAGAGGCTGAGCTGAAGGGAAGCTGTGGTTATATCCTGAATGATGGCAGATGTAGCTGTCCCTATTCTGAAAAAGTGGTCTGAGAAATAGTTAGGTGGAAGGTTGAGTGATGCTAGAATTTCGCTTRGAATTTTTAGAAACCAGGAAGTGGACATAGGAGAGTCTTCAGGAGTGAGGAACAGAGGCTTCAGGGGAGAACTGAGCTTATGACATTTATGAATCTGAACATCACACGAAAAGGGCAGAACGGGCCATCTACATGAGCAATAAATATGKTGTCTACGGTGATGAACCCAGGAGCAGGCTGACACAAAGAACTAAAACGTAAAAATATTTATTAACAATAACAAAAACTGACSGGGAACCCCTGGGAGAAAAACAAACACAAAATCTCAAATAAATAAATAAATAGTCCAAAGAAGGCCCTAGGCATATCTGGCAGGAGACAAAAGTTCAGGTGGCCGGTCTGGGAAACCACCACAGCGCAGGCGGTTTCAGGAGGTTGGCCAGGGGCCTGGCCGTGGAAAGGGTGGAGCTCAGGATGTCAGCCATGGGTCTGGCCGCAGTGGAGGTGGACCTCAGGAGAATGGCCCAGGACCCAACCGTGGAGGAGATGGAGCTCTAGAGCGTGGCCCGGAACCCACCTGCAGAAGAGATGGAACTCAGGGGACACAGGATACTCAGGGGCYGACACTGGAGACTCTGGAGAGGTCGTCTCTGGAGACTTTGGAAGCTCGGGTGCTGCTGGCAGCGATGGGGGTGAGGCTGCAGCAGAAGCTGGTGATGGGAGCTCACTGGGGGCTGCAGGTGGTGAGGGGACCTCAGAGGGGACTGCAGCAGGCGTGGAGGACTCAGCTGCTGCTGGTAGTGAAGAGAGCTCTGCTGCAGCAGATGGCGTCTGTACCTCCATTTATATATATATATACAGCGGGTAAAATAAGTATTGAACACGTCACCATTTTTCTCAGTAAATATATTA